AATGTAACTAATTGTATGCACAGTAAAGGCAACTTTTCCTGATCTTTTTTTTTTCTTCCCTGAAACTTTGTGCAACTTTTCCTGATCTTTCTTTTTTTTTTCTTCCCTGAAACTTTGCAGTTGAGCACCTACTGTTTGCTACATCACTGAACACAGAATGGCAGCATCTTACTTCCTACCTCTGATGTGCACTGTAGCTAGTAAAATAGGGTAACAAATGGCCTAAACTCAAATCAAAGAGCATCTTACCTGGATGATTTTAGAAAGTTCATCAAAAGAGTTCTTACAGTCACCACAGTACTCCTGGGCCAACTGGAGTATGTATCTATTCACACTAGCTGAGGTAGAGCTGATCCCTCCACTACTGCCAGACTCATCCTGGAACAGAGGGGAAAACAAAAGAAATCATACACGGAGACTGCACACAAGCGACAGCTGCAGAGCAGCACCTGTGACAAGGACTTTGTGCTTTTTTGGGCAGTGTCAACAGTTGGTGTCTCAAACATGTCTCCCACGTGGGTTCTGCACAACTTGCATCTAGCCCTGGTTACCTGGGGCTTTTCAGGAGCTGCCTCGTTCACTTTACACAGCAGGTTTTCCAGCTGCGGTCGGTGTCCCATTAGCTGGTGATACACTCTGTCCGCCTTGTCCAGGAGGGTGTTGATATTTGTTACTGCCTATAAATAAAAAGAAAGGGAAAGATCTTATGCCTTTGGGCTCCTGGAAGTCACGGTGGCCACATATTGAAGTCCAAGCATGGAAAGCCTAGCTACATTTCTGATGGAAAGCACAACATGGAAGCCAGAATCTTTGATACTTTGTTTCCACATGCCAGAGAAGCTCCTAGGGCTAATTGCAAAGCAAAGCTGCCATGAAGCTTCCTCCAAATTCATCCTCTTGCATAGGAAGATGGAGAGATGCTGTGCTAGATAGCTAGCTTAGGAGAAATAAGGCACTGAACAACATCATCTGAAGAATTATCTATTTGGTGGAGCAACTAGTAGCTAAGGGATTGTACTCCATGTTTCTCAGAAAAACAGAGATTGAGATTTTGTGAGACCACAGCAAATGAATCCACTCTTAGCCTCACCTTCTTTCGATCCTCTTCGTTCTCTATAGGATCCACTGCACAGCAGGGCTTGGCGTACAGCATGAAGTCAAAGCGAGCGTATTTACAGAAGCCACAAGCGTTGCAAAGGAAGGGATCCTTCTCATCGTAATTAATGGATCTGAAAGGCAAGCCAGAACGGTCACAAAAATGCTGCTAAGCTTCTAAAGATGACTAAGGGAATGACATAAGCGAGCTATGAGTGCGCTCAGCAAGTCAAAGAGAATGATGGCCCATAAAACGGCTCATCTTCCAAATTGCCCTGCGGAAGCATCACGAGCAAAAGACCCAAGATACACGTGAATCACAACCTGCAAACCAGGCACCCCAAATCCTTACAGAATACGTACTGTATTCTGGCCAGACATGTGTTTGTTCCTAACAATGCTACTTTAACTACACCATTTCCGCAGACCAGGGCACTCTGCCCTTCACATGCTTACACATAACATGAATCTATTCTGTTTTTTAAAGTCTAGGCTTTGAAGAGCTTATACTCTGTGCATGCTGCTGTAGGACTGGCTGCAGCACACTTAGCATCTCCACATCCCTGTAACTGAACCCCAGCCTCACGTCCTCAAACAGGCCAGCCAAAAGTAACCTTAGGCTGGGAATCTTCTTCTGAAGACTTCTGATTCGAAAATTCTATGTTCTTTGAGCATTGTCATCTTGGGTTTCTTTTGCTCGCCTGCATTAATATTAAATCCCTGTAAGCCTGTTTTATACTTCTGAACTAATTTGATTGTGCAGTGGTATTAATCAGAAGCATGTTATTTAAATAGCAGGGCATTTTGCTGAGCATTCAACACGGCAACAGCACAAGGGCTGAAGAACCCTCCGGGGAGAAGGCACGAGGGGGACACACCTGCACTTGTGGCACTGGTACACGTTCTCGCCGCAGTTCCCACACACGCCCGGGTTGGCCGGCACGGACGCGCTGCATCGAGGGCACTGCAGGGTCTCTGTGGAAGCTTGGTAATTCTCGTAGAAATCAGCAAATTCGATCATCAGGTTGGAAGCCACGATGGGCAGCGGCAAATCAATCTTCACCTCTGTCTGGCCTGGGGTCAGCTGGACTTTTTTGGCTTTGTGCCAACGGGCCGGCCTGGGAAAGGAAGACAGTGATAAGCCTTTTGGCGGGAAAGGGACACAAAGCACAACCGCCCGGCCACAAAATCTACTTTAAGAGGGACGACTGGAGAGCAGGCCTAGGTCCGTTTCCTTGGCTGCTGTCTTGACGTCATATGCAGCTAGAAATACATTTTAAGCCTTTATCTGCTTCGGAGCGGAGTTGAGGATTAAAGAGCTGTTGAGGCCTCATGGAAAAAACTTCAATTCTGCAGACATCTCGGAGGGATTTTCACCTCCGTGTTTCCTGCCCACCATTAGGGAAGACATTTCCATGAAAATGGGCTCTTTGCTTCCCAAGATCTCCGTGGCTCCCCCTCCTCGCTCCAAATTTGGAAGCGGACAGCCTCACTTTGTGATGTCATAACCCTCTCTCTGTAACATCACAGGGGGCCTGAGCCCTCTGTGACATCACAGGGGATGCTCTGTGTGACATCACCCGGATCTGAGCACCCTGGGTGATGTCACCAGGGATCCCTGAGCCCCTGGGTGATGTCATGGGGAATCTGAGCCCTCTGTAACCCCCTGGGGACATGGGCGCCCCACGTGACATCACCGACAACCCAGAGCCCCTGTGTGACATCACTGGGAACCCCAAGCCCCTTGAGTGACATCACCGGGGAGTTAAACCATCAAATAAGCACAAACTGCAGGCACAGATTAATTTCCTAAGCTAGAGGGATCTGCTCCTGATGGGAACGGCTGGGGAAGGAGCATTTTTCATGGCTAAAGCAGTAGAGAAGAGTCAGGTCACCCAACTTGCAATTTCACTTCTACTATTGACTCGTTACATAGTTGAAACCATTAAATTAACAGTTTTGGCACTTCTGGACACACTGCAAGATGAATTTCAAGAATCAAATTCCCCTGGTTGTGGTTCTGGCACTGATATTGGTCTCCGAACAATTATGTTAGGTGCTTAATTTTTTTTTCCATGGATTGGAAGACAAAACTAAATGCCGTGTCTTGGGAAAAAGCCGCATCAATACTAGGAATCTATCAACATTATAGTAAATTTGTGTTCTTCCACCTCCCCAAATTCTCCCGCCCTGCATCAAATGCAGGGATGAACATACTTGTTCTTCAGCTCCACTATGGCTTGCACCGTCCGGTTGTTGTAATAGAGGTTGATGGTTCGGACCATTTTGGTGCGTTTCAGGTCTCCTATCTTCACCGTCACCTTGCTGATGGTGTGGCTGCCGATGAGCTTCACCACTTGCTGGGTGGTGGTGTACCGCGTGTCCACTTTAATGGAGGACAGCTTGATGTACTGGGAAGACAAAAACAAGGACACACTGCCACTGTGATCATATCCCCAAAAAGCAGAAGAGCTGCCAACTGTGCTGGGATCCTTGTGGGCCCCCACAGGGTTAGGGGGTCCCAGTTACTTACGCAGAAAGGCACCTCCGGATTGTTGCAGACCAGGCAAGGATCACTCTCCAGATAATAGCCATCAAATTCCACCAGTCCAGAGAGAGTGCTGGAGTGAGGGAAGAAAACATACGTTATTTGGCAGTCAGCGTTGTAATCATGAATCATTCAGGCAAGCAGAATAGTTTTAGTTTAGCTGCAGTCGCACCCTGTCCCTCACCCCAGGCCCAAATTTCATAAGAGTGTTGCAATGTAACTTGAATAAATAAGTTTCCATCTATCTTTGCCACATAGAAAAGTGTTATTCGTCACTGAGCAGCATTTTAATATAACTATTAGATTTATTTTTTCCTGCCATACTCTAAAGGGCAGCTGCAACAAGCAGAAAATCTCAGTACGAGGCCTTCATCCACCACAACCTCATTAGAAGAAATACCCACAACCTCCCTCTGGATCACAGCTCATATTCTGAAAAGTTCCTTTAATAAAATGGATCAGAGTCAGAAGTAACTCACTTGTAAATATTGGAGTTGGGGTGATTGGTAAGAATGTGGTTTTGAGTCCGGAGAATCTCCACAGCCTTTTGGGAATATTCCTTCAACTGAAAAACAATTAGGAAAACATCATCTCTTCTACGCTTTTTTTTTTTTTAATGGCAACAGAGATTTCCCCTCTTCTGGCATTCTATGTCTCCCAGATGATGCATACACTATACCCACAGGAATTTATGTGGTTAAATCATTACCCAGAAACATAATTGATCCTAAAATTAGATCTTTACTACAGTAATGACTATTAGCCAGACACTGACTGCAGATTCCTCACAAGCTTTTGCAGAGCATTCCCTACTCTTTGCACATAACACATGCAATTACCAATGCATCTAATATATTTGTTCTCAGCCTACTGGTCCCTAGAGAAATCCTACCACTTCCTTTGTGCAAAAGTAATGGTTATAAAAAACTTCTAGGAATTGAAATATCCCCCCAAAAATCTATAAGTCAGACTTGGAAGAAAAATGTATTTTCTCACAGAGTCTTCTTGTGGGAACAGGAAATATTTTTGCTGAAAAAACACCACAACTCCCCCAAATCCCCCATACTAAATGTTAACAATTTAATTCCAAGTAGCATTCCTCTAAGGAGTCCACAAGTTTTAACACTCAGATTTTGGGAATGAAAACATTTCTCCCAGAAGACAATTTTTCCTGTCAAAACTGACCAGCTCCATCATAAGCAGAATTCAGAAGCAGCATTTGGGAGGCTGCTCCTCCTTTGCAGGGTGCCACTCTACCTTTTTCTCCGTCTGCTGCGTTTTCAGAGAGAAGTATCCCAAGAGGTCTACAAACTGGGCAGCCTTTCTTCCGTAGGCTGGAAGTTCTGGCCAGATTGACCACATGAGATCCAAGAGTAACTCTTGCTGGGACTTGTTAGAGTTCCTGTAGGACAGGTTGCATATTCATTCAGCTTGTGAAAACAGCTATATAGACTGCTTGATATGCAGGCTTGTTTCAAAAGGAAAATACATGCTACAGTTAACCAAAACTTCTACAGATAGGCAACTATTATCTTTCCACATATCCAAATTCCCATAGCTAAACCTCATCTCTTCTTGCCACTTGCAACTATGGAACAGCCTCTGAAGGAGCTCAGCACCCTGCGCTCTGCCTTTCCCTATGTAATCTCCACTCTCACCTTTCTGTGCCAGTCTGAGCCTGACTGAAAGAAATCCACTCTTCCCCAAACTACCTATTCCTGAAGGCGTAATGAGGCAGACTCTACAGGCAGAAATAAAATCTTGCTTTCAGATGATCACTGAGTGGATCAGTAATGAGCAATGCCCCAGAAGATGCCATCCATCTGCAAGCCTCAGCACCCTGCAGGGGAGAGGCTCAAGCGCTAACTCTTCAGGACAGAGCTCGTTGGAGCTGAGACTGATTGGCCAATGCTCTCTGGAGACACCTGACAGAGAGCTAGAGTCATTAGGTTTGCACCTTCACCCAGGGCAGATGTTCACCCACGAGCCAGCCCGGGCCTCCTCCGCGCTCACCTGTAGATGTGCAGCGCGAGGCAGTGCGCCTGCCACCTCACCGAGGACGAGTTGGACTCCAGCAAGAAGCAGCGCAGGAACTGGATGAGGGTTTCCTTATCTGCAAACTTGTTCAGCTGGTTCACCAGAGCAGTGCACAGCTGGTCCTCCTGACTGCCTGAGCTCTCACCTAGGGGACAGCGGGTGGCACAAGAAAGATAGATGAACCTCACCAGAAGGCCACTTTTCTGCTTTACAGAACATTCACCAAGGATAAACGTGCATAAAGGACTGTGGTTTAGTCCATGTGCTGTAAATGTTCACAAGCGACAAACAAGTTCAATGCCAATAGAGTACTCAAGCCCAAGATTTGTAGAGGAAAGCTTAATTACTTTCCCAAAGTTTGAACATCTATTAAGAAGCAGCTCTGGCTCCAACATGGCTTAAAAATTGGGCAGAAGCAGCAAGTCTGAACACAGTCATTGAAAAGAAGAGTTAACTAGGTGTGCATCTCCAGTACTTGTTTTAATCCCCAGGAGCCTTTCAGCCTCCTACAATGTGGGCCAGAGAGCTTATGTGGAAAATACTTTGTCACCAGTAAAGGTAATTTTCATCACACAACCTTAAGTTCAGGTGAATTAATAGATCCTCACAGTGGGCTTGGGATAAATCAGCACCTAATCTGAGCTCCAGTTTTAAGTGCATCCTGCTGATCTTTGACCCACTCCAGTCTTTCTGCAGTAAAATTGTCCTTCTGTCCTAACGGATGCTGAATTCTGCAAGTGCTCTTGCCAAGAGCCCGTTTCGCAGCAGGAGTTGTTAAAGCACAGCAACTGCTTTTAAATAGGGACATGAAAAGATGAGAGAAGCAGGCCATAACCCTAAAAGCACCACAGAACTGGGCAAGCCAAGCTCACCCTCTCGCTCCTTTTCCTTTTCTTCTTTCTTGCTCTTCTTAGTGGAGGATTTGCTCTGTGTCACTGGCTGCCCGGAGCCTGATGCTGCAGGAGCAGAGGTGGAAGAGGTGCTGGACGATCCCGAAGATGAAGTCACAGACAGCACTTTACTGCCACACAGAGCACAGGACAGCAGCTGCAGGAGAACTGGTGACACTCCTTCATCTACCAGGAAGCTGACTTGAAGGAGGAAATAAAGAACCGCTGCAGGGGGAAAGAAAAAAAAAAAAAAGGCTCTGAAATCAAGAATTCCAAATCTGAATTAAGATCAGAACACGACAAAGATAACTCCACAAACCCTCCATTTCTACTTTAGGAAAGCCCAAAGTTTGGGTACACCAAGATAAAGCGTTTCATCCCAAATTGCACGTTGGCACAACAGCAGAATGCACATCTCATATCTCTTATTGCAAGTTATCCAGTACATAATAATGCCCATAACTGCAGCCTAGGTGTTCTTTAGCTAAGGAACAGGTGCAGTTAGAGCACTGCGATAATTAGTGTTAGAAACAAGTCAGTCCTACTCAAAATCTTTTTCTCTCTGTTGGATTTCCTTATGTGAGAAGACACGAATCAAACCGAGACATAAAAAAACAAGCCCCTTGCGCTATGAAATGCTCTAAGAGAAACAACTCACAGTCATCTTTAATGCAGAATTTTTGCCAGTTTACTGTTCGCTGTGTGGCGATCTCTGCACAAGCCTTTAAATGTTCCATCTGAAAGGTAAAATTAAACATCCCATCAGTATTTCCATTACTGATACCTTACACAAGCGCAACAACCTTTTCTTCCTTGGTACAATCACACGGTTTTCCTTACCAGGCTGATCAATGTATCATACTGCAGGGCAGAGCCTGAACTTGCTGTGACTACACTGGCCCGAAGGAAAATGCCTTGCTCTTCTAGCAGCTTTTTAATTCCCCGAACATGAGAGTCCAAGGTGTGAAGGTCTCGGAGCTGCCGGTATTTCTCCTTCGATCCACAGATAAAAAGCAAAAGCTTGCGGACTTGGCGGCGCACAAATGGAGTCTGCTGGATCATCAGGTACTAGACAAGGAATGTAAGGCTACGACATTAGTACTGTGAGCTCGCCCACAGGCCACCTGCAGCACTAAAATATGCTTTCAAATACACTTTCATACAGATTCTTGTTCAAGAGGGATAAAACAATATCAAGAGTTGACTTTTCAAGGAGCGGCGAATGAAAGAAGGATCTGAAATAGTCCTACAGAAGCTCATTTCTCCCACGAAGCAACAATATTACTGATAGTTTTCAGGTAAAACCTGCAGGACTGGCACATGCTCACCTACCTCAGACAAAAAGTAGAACCAGGAGTGATCGAAGATGGGGGGTGGGATGCGGGAGTTTGTGTCTGCAATCTTCTTGATCTGATAGGGCAGCCGCAGGACCATCTCGGTCAGAAGCTGAGTGTAGGCCTCAAAAACATCTGCAGCATGACCCTGGAAGCAAGAAAACTCCATCAGCCCCTAGCACACAGCACTCCCGCTGTGTGGTCCTGAAAACTATAGGGTGCATTTGTTCATTCTCTAAAAACAAAGCTCTTCTGCACCTTTGCGGCCATGAGAAACGTTCCTGACTGATCAACGAGTGCAAGGCCAACAAATCCATGCCTGGACTTCAAGTGTTGGGATGCAGTAAGCTTCTCTATAGCTCTAAGGCATTTTAATATACTAGCCTTCAACTTAGGAGACATCCTCACCTCTAACTAGGCTTATTTCACTGCACCTGTGCATATATCAAAGCCTCCCTCGACATCAGTGAAATCTTAAAATAAAGGCACCATGGTGGCTGAACAAGCCTGGGATTTAGTATGGAAATCCCCATCAGCTGCTAGGCTGCCTTGCTGCAATAAGTAGCAGTGGTTCAGAAATTCTGCCTGCCAAGCAAAAGGAGTCGCACGACGAAGCAGCTTCCCTTCAGGAAGATTAACATTTCAGCCAGAAACAATGACAGCAGCTCTGCAGAACTGCCTGGTTCAGGAGTGCATCAATGGATCCAGCAAGCAGGGCTACTCTGTCAGGGAACTCAAAGCAATCCTAGCTGTAACGAGGCTGCAAGAGAAGGGATTTTACTTGCACAACTGCGGGGCAGATGCCAGTTGACAGCACAGCACTCCTGCAAAGACGCTTGCATTCGTATCTGCAAGCAGAGCTTCCAGGCGCGTTGCACAAACGCTAATAGTGCAGGGCAGGGCTCACCTTGACATACTGGCGGAGGAAAAATGGGCTCATGTCAGGTGGAGAAGAAGTAGTGTGAGGTTTCAGGAGCTGGCTGGAGGCTACAGGCTCCTCGTCGTTCTGCTGGCTTTTCCAGTACTCGAGCAGGGACTTCAGCACATGAAGGCAGTAGTCAACGGCACCAGAGCTCAGCAACGCGGCAGCGGTGGCACTAGAGATGAGGGAAGAAGACTGAGACAAAGAGGAGATGATTACTAGAGCACCTAAGAACAAATTCCAGAAGAGCAAGGGAAGCCAAGAGCGTCAGATGCCGTTTGCTGACAGCACAGATAAAAGAGCAGGTTCTTAGGAAACTTTACAGGCAGCTTTTAAGTTTGGGGTTTGTTTGAGGTTGGGTTTTTCTTTTTTTTTTTTTGTGCGTGTGTTTAAAAAAGCAACTCAAATATTTACAGAGACTCTTTTGAACAAGCGCTTAGTAAAGGAAAACAAATAAAATCTCCTCTTAAGTCTAATCTCCCCTCGACACATGTGCCAGAGGCCACTGTGCTATGGATTAGACGACTAGGGTGCTTTTTTTTTTTTTTGCCCTTTTTTTTTTTCTCCTTAAGTTGGGATTTCTATTTGTTTATCTGGGATTTGGCCAGCTGGGGGTGAATTCCGGTACAGAAAGAGTCCCTGTTTGCAGATGCCGCTCAGAGGCTCTGCTCCACCCAGGTATTGCTCCACCTGCATTCTGCAAGACGAGGAGCTTTGATTTCTGTGGGAAGCTCAAGTGAGTAACAAAGGCAGCAGAAAAAGCTACTGTAAATAAAACTATTAAAGCAGCCCTGTAAATCCAAACAAACCCCACAGCTCATAAGCTCATTAAAATTTGATGCAGTTCAGACTAAATTTTTTAACCTCTATGCTTTTTTTATTAATCTCCTTCCCACCACACATACTGCTTTTTATGCCTTATTACTGTACCTTTTAGCAACAAATATCTAAGGAATCCTCTTAGCGACTTTTACGTTGACACAGCAGCATATTGCTTTCCAATAATCACATTACAAATCCCCTTTAACTCTTTCAGCACCAGTATGATGCAATGGAAAAAATCTGTCGAGCCATTTTAAAAAACATTATTTATGTGCTGCCTTGAGACCAGTTACAAAGTGCTGGCAAAACTAGGGAATCCAGTAATCTTTTCCTACTGGTTTTCTCCATCCTGAGTTTAAGCTGAAACTTTTTCACAATAGTTGAGTAATGACAACATAGCAGATTCCTCACAAATTATTCCAAAGCATATTTAGCTTTATTTTATTTTTATTTTATTTTTTTTTAACTCTTAGGCTAAAGAGTAAGTAACTAGAGTTACTGCTTTTTAGACCATCTTTGATGAACAATAGTTCCCCAACCCCATCACCTCCTGAATAGGCAGTTTGAAGAATGTACCTCACAAATGGAAGACTTGGATCCTGACTTAGTTCTTGACATGAACACACTGAGCAGTCTCATCACCACCAAATGGACTTCGTTCACAGGAGAACGCTCATTTTTCTTAGACACATCCTGCAGGGAAAGAGCTTTCTCACTTACAGACCTGAGCATAATGTCTTAGACATCAAAATTTCAGTGCTCTGATCCCCAAGAAAGATTTCTAAACGAAGCTCAAGTAATAATAAAAAGGGAACACCATAAATTCCTCAATAGAAGAGTATAACAGTAGCCTGAACCCCAGAAAAGAGAGTTACAAAAATGAAAAAGGTATGTATGTATGCATCCTTGATCCTCCTGAATTGAGGGAAACAAGTTTTCACAAGAACCAGGTCATTTTTCTACCTCATATGCAAAAGAAATAAACTCTGTAAGTACACTGGTACAGCAATCTATTTGTATGACTCCCTTGCACCTAATTCCTAAGAGTAGCAAATTCAGAGTGTGTACTCACTGAATAACTTACCTTTTTGTCCATGCACAGTTCTGCAATGAGCTGAGACAGAAGGTTATCCAAAGCTCCCTTGTCTTTCTCATCATCTCCATCTAGGTCTGTCGTGAGCATCAGAATAACCTGAAAACAGAGGTCAGAGCAGAAATAAAAGCCAGGTTCCACATTTGAGACAGATGCAGATTATTACCTGTAAAAATCCAGCAGATTTTTACTTTAGATATATGCTCTTTCCCAAATTCTGCCAGCACCATCACATCCTAATATGATCATTTAGTATAAATTAAACTTTTCTAGTAGTAATTAACTCCTTGATTAAGCCCTAACTCCTGAGCCTTCCTCAGGTACCTGCATGTAAGGAATGGCACGGACTCCTCCAACGTTCCTCAACTGGGGCAAGTTTTGCAGCAGCCTCTCCAGTAGCATCAGCCGGACCATGTGCAGCCTGGTAAATCAGAAGCCAGGAATTAGACACAGAATCATAGAATCTTATAATAAATGGGATGCAGCAGGATCATCAGCAGAGCACTGGAATTTAGCACAAAAGAGCAAGAAGAAATCCTAAGACGATCAAGTTAGTAAGGACAGGAGAGGACTCCGTGAGAGCCAAGAGATGCCAAAGATGCAGAGCAATCCTGAGAAGGACACGGACGCTTCTTCACTTTAGAATGCTGCTGCTGAGTGCAATTACCTGCAGAATTAACTCTCCAGACATAAGTCAGCTCCGAACCACAGCGTAAAAATGTCTGAGCATGTTCCCATGCAATAAGAAATTGCAGACTTCTACCAAGGTGCTGGTGCAAATATCATTTTTTCCCTGGTACCACATTTTACTATCTCCCAAGTTTTTTTAACAAGCTTTAACAGACTCATGCGGGCTTTTTCCTTACCTTTGTACCTGCTTAAGTTATATGAGATTCACATCAGGCAGGTGGCAATATGTTACACTGCTGAATACACAGATGGAGTCACTTTGTCTCTACAATTTGCTCTAGACTGTTTCAGACACCTGCCAAACTCAGTTTCGACTTCTCTTTTCCAAAGCTGCTCATCATTTTCATTGCAATTAAGCACCTATGGTGCAGCACAAACAATGATGCTGCAGAATGTAGGTTCTGTTCCTGGAAGAGGAAAACAAAGTCTCTTGCCTGTTGCTGGTGTGGACATCTCCTTCAGCCTCGCCTTCTCCTTCTGATCCATCTCCTTCTTGCTGGCCTGTAGTAGTGCTTATAGCACCTGTGCTCGAGCTGACACTGCCTGGTCCAGCAGGGTGGCCCTCAGCTGTTGTGTCCCCATAGGCACTGCTACGGCCAGACACTGGAAAAGATCAAAGGAAAAAGGAGAAAAGAAAAAAAAGAAAAAGGGGAAAGATAATATCAGCAAAATGGAGCTTCATGGCAACCCACAAAGTTGAACTATCCAAAGTATGGCTATAACGAGATGGGGTCTGCAGTTATCTTCAAACTTAAAATCTCAAGTGTCACTTCCACAGATGCTATTCAACACCCCTAGCAATGTCCTCTTTGTCAACCTCATCTTTACAGTACAAACTGAACTGGTTCCACAGCAATAAGTATAAATTCACACAGAGCTGAAAGAGGGATGTCACATACAACACGGACATATTTTTTGCAGAAGCCTGTGATTACTGATGACCTTTAAATTCTATCCCATCAAAACACACCCAGCAAGTTAGCGAATTCTTTCCAGGGATCATCCTCTCCCTCCCACACCGCAAAGTTGTGGCAGGAACCTGGTGTGCAGACACCAGTGCAGGCAGAGGGGCTCACCACTGTGCTCGCCAGCCACCGAGTCCACGGCGCTGCCGCCGCTCTCGGAGCCCACGCTGCCGCCGTGCTCGGCTGGGGACGTGCGAAGGGTTGAGCCGTCCGTCGCCGCCGTGCTGCCTTCATCGTCGGACGCTGGAGCTAAAAGAATAACGAGAGCTGTTACAAGTAAAAACAATGTCTTGGTATAGCTCCAAAAGAAGCACACACTATGAAAGAAAAGCCACAAGGATCCACAGAATCACAGAATG